TTCGACAGGCAGCATGAGGTACTGGGGATCTAACGTGGTCTACCTCATGAGGTAGAAGATTCTCTTTTGAGGCCCCTTATTTACACTAAAGAACATTATTAATGTTTTTTTCTGTTTGCATGGGTAAAGATAGTCTATGTCCTTTTTTCATTGTTTTTTTTTTGCATTGCACTGTTTAAGGTAATTAAATTCCAAACAACTAATTAAGGCTGATACTATATGCTAATAAATAAAGGAGTGATGATAATACAGAATATGCTTTGACTTTGCTTGAATTTAACTTAGGTATAGCTATGCAGTGTTCTAAGCAGACGGGATATGTGGCAGATGTGAGAACACTCATTGCAACCCTAAGAGACTTGAGACTTGAGACTTGACTTGGACTTGTGATCAAAGATTTGGAATGACTTGTAAGCACTGAAATGAGAATTGTTACTTGCTGGAATTAAATTCAGTTACTAATCAGCTCTATGCCGAAATATTAACCTACTGAATAGCCACAACTTCCACTTGGACAGGCTCCGATCTTTAAATAGGTAACATCAAGTATGAATTATTTAGAGTTTCAGCTTATGTGACTTTCTCCATAAATGTAGATCTATTCTGTTGTTATAAAGCTGCCTGATTGCTTGTAATGGTCTAAATAAATAATTGAGACATTTGCTTCCTTATTGACTACCTTTATACAGATAGGCAAACTCAGGATGATATAATGATACCATTACACTATTCTATGCAGCTTAAAGAAAACTATACTATACAAAAATAATATTATAAACTTGTTTGCTGGTTGCACCTGACAGTTGAGCTGGCATTGCAGTAGGGGCTTCACCATCTTTAACAATTTAAGTGTCATCATCTTGCTTTTCTCTTCAGTAATGTTACTCTTGCCCCATCTCTCTCAGTTTCAATTCAATTCAATTTAGTTTGCTTCACTAGGAAGAGTGTAACAAAGACGATATTGCCAAAGCATTAAGAAATTATAAAGTAAAAAGAAACTCAGTAACGCCTTGTGGGAATTTCCTCAAATATGGCACCAACATCCACTTGGACTCAAGGATGAATAGAATTTGGTCGTCGAAGGTAGAGGTTACTGTGACCTCACTAAACATATGGAGCTAAAACTGTGACATTCAATTTCAGAATTTAAATAAATTCTGGTATTGGAAAACAACCTCAACTGAAAACGTGAACATTGAAGTATTGTATTGGAAAAAGTTGCATTGACACTGAAAAAAGATGTGAAAACTGTTTCCACATTAGGTTTACTGAGGAGCGCAATTGTCACGACTTTATATCTACGACAAGGGCTTTCACGACTTCACCTCATATACTGTGTAACTGATACCCCTGGAACTCTAAAATCTCAGGCAGTCTGTTTCTCTTTGCACTTGCTTTTCAGTCTTACTTAGCTGGCGGACATGTGTTAGCCTAGCTGACTTAGCTTACTTTAGCGCTAGTTCCAGAGGACCTTGTCCTGACCAGCATAAAGTCCATAACCCAGCCTAGTTCTCAGTTCTCATACTTGGGGTTTGAGAGTTTCAGGTGAACTCCTGGAAGCCATTGCTGTATGCTATGTGTGTGGTCAGAGGCCTCAGTTGACGTCTCATTAGTATGCAGAAATGTAAATCACAGCCTCCATGCTCCGCCCCTCTGCCAAAAGTTGTTACAGTGCTAATACAACTTTTTCTGTTGTAGTGTAGAAGTGTATCAATGCTAATGTCTACCTTAGCAGTTCAGGTTTTGTTTTAAATGCTAGATTTATTTTCACCAAAATTTAATGTCACTGTTCTAACTCTATGTAAACATGTTTATGGCCATAACTCAATAATTGATGACCATATTTCACAATTGGTAAGACAATTAATTTCTAAATTTTTTGACTCAAAGGTCAAGATCCCTGTGACCTAAAAATGACCTTGAGAAATGGCTTTGGTCATAACTCAATAATTGATGTAGTAAAGATGAAAACATTTCACACAGCTATTTAATGGGATTACAACAATGAAGTAAGGGAGCTCAGATTGATCGGTCACCGATCGTAATCAGCCGATATTCGCTCTTATTACTTTGATCAGCAGTCTCTCTAAACGTCGATCAGAAGAGCCGATCAGCTGATGCATTCATTTCATTCTACAGGAAGGTTATTCAGTCTTTGACACACGGATGTATTAGTTTTTAGTTTTAGAATTTTGCAGAGAGAGAGACATTATCTGATGGATGTTTAACAAGCACAGAGCAGGTAAAGGAACAGTTTCGAGGAACCCTGAAGCACCCTTACAAAGAAGTTATAGGGTTTTTTTTTTACCAAAAAGGTCAAACGTCAGCATCACTGTGACATAATGTCCTGGAAAACACTTTTCGGCCATTATGTAACACCATTACTCAGGAACAGAAGGGAGATTGTGACTGTATTTTGACAGTATATTTGACCGATCACTGAATTAGTGATACTTTTGAAAAGGTCATTGTGACTTCAAAATAGGTTTTCAGCCGCAATCTAAGAATTGGGCTTTTCCAGATTTCACATATGCAGTGACTGAGACAACAGTACAGGCTTTCATCTATCTATCGTATTAATACTGCCTTTTTCTAACAGCCTCGTTTTGAATTTCAAGCGACATCGGCACAACCTATTGGAGTGCACCTAACTAATGGTGATCCTGTCACTCATCCTGTGAGTGAGTTTTACTGATAGCTCATAGAGAGGTGTCACCTCTAAATCTAAATGTGAGGAGATATATATTTTTTTATAGCTATACTCTATAAGATTCCATCTTTACATAGTAATCAATTACATGTGTACCTGTTTAGCCAATACGTGTATAATAATCCTTCATTAATCAACTCAAAAATATACATATAACTATATATCATCAAGATAGTGATAACTTCCATTTAGCCAAAAAATATACTTTATACCTTATATTCAATTCCTTCCAAGTCTTCACTACATGCATTATATGAATCTGGACAGACATGGATGTTAACTGCAAGAAGGCATTCAGCCGTGGGTGGTAATTCTAGTGTGACTGAGATCCCGCAGGTGAGGTGATGAAACACTCCACCTGCTGCCATGTGACAAGGCTTGGTGGCTTGTACTGAATGTCAGGCTGACAAAGGAGCTGGTGTTGTTTACTAAGCCAAATAGCTGCAGAAAAGCACACACGTGCCCCAACACGGCCATATCACTGATACCTGCCTTTTACTGTTCATCGTCTGCAAAATTCATCACAGCTCAGCAATTTGACTAAGATTTCACCTGACTCCCTGCCAACTAGAGCTATTAAGAATGGCGAAGGCTCAATCAGATGAATAATTGACCATAGTCTAGTCTTGTTAATTGTAGCTGACTTAAGGGCTTGGTCTTCTGGCTGCATAGCACAGTCTATTGCTTTTTTTCAAAAACACCCCAGATATAAACATGCATTTAAAAATGTCTGGATCGTATTATATCCTGGAGCTTTGACTTACAGTAATGCTGGCACGTCAATGTCAAACCAGAATTTCATTGACCACCAATTTAGATATCAGTATAAACAGAGTTAAAGTACAATGAGAAAAATTACTAGCAGGAAGTCAGATATGTGCTACTGATACAGTACTGATGTAGAATACATACAGGACACAGTAAAACCACCACAGAAGTGTTTTCAATGTTTCAGCTGTTTTACTACAAATAACAGAGTGATAGGTTTACATTACTGCTAGTGATTTTCTAAAGCACACCATATGTTTGTTGTTTAATTGTGTTTTGTCATTGCTTTCTGTTAGTTTCAGTACACTATGTGAAAGCCAACTTGAAAAGACTATTAAGTACTCGTGTCAGACAATTCACCACATTTTTGGCAAAGTAACATAATTGTTGTGTGGTAATACCACACAAACATTTCAAAACGATCTGAAAAGCGTTACCATGCCAGTTCTATTTCACTTGATTAATCTGGACTTTTCTGGAGTCTTTGTGCTCTGCCATATGTACATTTGTATTTCCCAGTGTTGGCTATTTGATGTTATATTTTACTATATAAATGTGTTAATTATGTGTCTCTTTGTTAATGTAATTTATTTTTGTTTTATGTCTAGTGAAGCTTTTAAAGGATATATGTATATATAGCATTATTCTCTTTTTATGCCTCTGGACTAACGATAGCCGTGTCCAGAGGCATTATGTTCTTGGGTTGATCCTCCAGCAATTATCTGGTAATGGTCGAGGCAGACGACCACCCACCTAGAGCCAAAGGGTCTGTCCTAGGTTTCTGCCTCTTAAAAGGCAGTTTTTCCTTGCCCCCGTCGCCAAGTGCTTGCTCATGGTGGTCCTGTTGGGTCTCTGTAAATGTTAAAAGGAGTTCGGTCTAGACCTGCTCTATTTGAAAAGTGTCCTGAGATAACTTCTGTTATGAATTGGCGGCTATACAAATAAAATTGAATTGAAAGAAATTAAGCATCCAGAAACAGTGATGTGCTGAAACATTGATTCAGCACATCACTACAATAGGGCTTTTTTTCTTTTTATCATATAAATTAATTACAGAGGAATGGTTGTCAAACCAGTAATACATTTTTCTGAGCATCACAAACATCAAGTAATTCTTTGTATAATCAGAATATGATCCATTAGGTTGAATAAAGAAAGTAGATACAAGAAATAGAAAGTCTTGTAGGGCTGTAGCAGTAAATGCGTTTTGTTTCATTCATGTTCTAATGGGCCCCAAAATAGGAAAACCTGAGGCTATTCACTTTCATTTGAATGAAGGCACCATCTTGTAACATGGCATCTAGTACTATTAATACATCCACAGAAAAAACACATTCAAACATAAATTCAAAACTTAAATGCTGGTGTGGCTCCTAATAGCTTGAAATGCATGCCAGAGTATATGTCACTTTTTCTCTTGGCTAAACAAGAGTTTTATATAAAAAAAATTACATCACATATGTCATGAAGTAATAGTCAGGATAAAGACTAATTTTATTTCTTCTAATCTATGTCTTCACAGAAAGCCGGGGCAACCGGGGTGAAAAGACCCAGGGGACGACCCAGGAAATGGGTGAGTCTGTGGTTCTCTTAAGGTCAAAGCTTGTGTCTGCTGCTAGCATACTGGATACCGGATACTGGAAGACACATTGTACACAACACAAGATGGGCTGTGAATAACGAGTTGTGCCAGTTGATGAAATCTATTTGTGATAGGAGACACGTGAGCAAGAGATTTTATTACTACACATCTAGTATATTGGTATATACATAGATATATTACCTGATTTTAATGCACATTGAGATGGACTGTTTCACTTCCTGAACTTTTTGTGGTAATTTCTCATCAGTAACTTTCATTATGTGGCCTGAATACTTTTAGAGGTTCCTCTCTGGTTGTTGCTAATGTGTGTGTACAGGGAGATCTCCAAAATATTTCTTCTATCAAAGAAAATATTTACTGCATCCATGCTGACTAAAGCCGATATTTTCCGCCACTACCCTCGGGCTGGGCCGGGCCCTTGATCAAGCATTTGTGTTTTTTTTTGGTTTTTTTTATCATTACGTTATTAGCCTAATCGGGTGGGGAGAAAGCTATGGCATAATCAGAAATATTATATATATTTTTTAGCAAAGTAGGCCTAAGTAACAAACGTGCACTCCTGGATGGAGTGGTGTGTTCCAAGAATTTTATTTCTAGAGCGCCAATTCATAATAGAAGTTATTTAGACCCAAGAGAGACAGAGACAAATAGTACTACACTAGGGTGGCTGTGGCTGTGGCTCAGAGGCAGAGCAGGTCGTTCCTCAATCGGAAGGTTGTGGATTCGATCCCCGGCTACTGGTGCCACATGTCGAAGTATCCTTGAGCAAGATACTCAACCCTGAATTGCTCCCGATGCCGTGCATCGGTGTGTGAGTGTGTATGAATGTTAGTTTCTGTTCGATGGACTTTGCCATCACTGAGTGAATGTGTGTGAAAGGGTGAATGTGGCACGTAGTGTAAAAGCGCTTTGAGTGGTCGGAAGACTAGAAAGGCGCTATACAAGTACAGGTCCATTTACCATTTAATAGTAGTGACTGATGATGATGAACATGAAGAAGATGATGACAACAACGACAACAACGGACAATGAGCAGTGATTATAGTGATAATAGTATGTGTAGTAATAGTAATAATAATAATAATTAAAGCTGCAAGCAGCATTGGGCGGGACCTCACACTGCGGCAGCGTCACGTGCCGTCATAACACGTGTGGACCACAACATGAAATTTTCACGTCACCCCACTCCCAAGCCCTCATTGCCAGAAGCTGAGGGAGACCACTCTACGCACAGTAAATATTTGATTAACTTATGATCACCAATGTGTCTAGATTGCAGTGATTGAATTTGAAGTCAATCCGATAAAATCTGTAGGAGGATTTAGTTCAAATTGAAGCCCTGAAATGCCAGAAATGGCATCACAATTTGACATTCGTTTCAAAATGGCCAACTTTGACAGCACGCCACCGACACTCCCTTCAACGTACAGTCGAAAATACCACGGCCTTCATTCAGCACATTTTTTTGACTGTACTGACCAATTTTGAAGCAGATCCGATAAATTCCCTAGGAGGAGTTCGTTCAAATACATACACATGCTTTGTTGAAATACTGTAGGGGGCGCTACAAGCACGATTTTTGGTATGTGAGCTACAGGCATCAGTCTACATGCATCCTGTGAATTTCATATTCATAACTATTACGGTCTCCGCAGAGTGATTTACCCTGCCACCAGAGCGCCACCCAGTGGCGTGGCTTATTTTTTCCTTTTTAAGTGAGCCTCAGGGAGGTATGGGCAATCATCGTACCAAGTTTCATTTTAATCACCCTTGCCAATGTGGAGATACAAACTTCTGCATTTTAAAGAGCCACAAGGTGTTGTGGCGATGGCCTGAAATTGTGCACGATGCCTAATGAACACATAAGGAACTATTGACCCAAGGTTGGTGTCAATCGGACATACCAATGTGGAGAAATGCCCCACTTCCTTTTTTGACGAAAAATCAACAGGAAGTGCTAATTTTATAACATGCTTATTTTTTGAAATATCAAAAGTTTTCACCAGGCCTGACAACTTTGCCAAATAAAATTCACGCGGAGTATATGTTCAGGGGGTCAAAAATGCCATCAACGTTCTTAATAATAATAATAATAATAATAATAATAATAATAATAATAATAATAAACGGAGCAAAAACAATAGAGACCTCACAGTGTTTGACACTGGCTGTGTCCCTAATAATATCAGTGATATTAGCAATGGGAGTCAAGCAGGACCATGGTAAATGGACCTGTACTTGTATAGCGCCTTTCTAGTCTTCTGACCACTCAAAGCGCTTTTACACTACGTGCCACATTCACCCTTTCACACAGTGATGGCAAAGTCCATTGAACAGAAACTAACGTTCATACACATTCACACAACAATTTTGGGTTCCGTATCTTGCTCAAGGATACTTCGACATGTGGCACCAGGGGCTGGGGATCGAACCCACAACCTTCCGTTTTGGAATGACCCACTCTGCCTCTGAGCCACAGCCGCCCTGCTCAGTGGCAGGAGGCACCACCAGGATCGATGAGAACCTGCGAGACGAGAAAGCACAAGAACCCTGGGGAAGAAGTGAAGTTAGTAACATGCATTAATGGGACATGAATGTGTGCAGAAAGAGAGAGAGAGGAAGAGAGGAGCTCAGTGCATCATGGGAAATCCCCTAGTAGTCTAAGCCTAGAGCAGCATAACTAAGGGATGGTTCAGAGGGGTATTGCACAAAAGTAGGATAAAGAAATCCAGGATAATTGAGCAAGCGCGGCTTGACTTAGCCTGCTCAGCGCATCCTGGCTTAATTGGTTGCACGTTTGCCGAGCTAGGATGAAAAGGTGCGGCTATGTTAAGCCAGGTGTAGATAGTCGGGATAAGTGCGTGTTCACGGCATACTGAAATAGACCTCGCGATCAGTCACAGAATCACCGATGGGAACATGGATAAAACACCCGCTTCGTATTTCACGGCCGCTGAACAACAGCTCCTGATGGAGTTCTATGAAGAGGTGAAAGATAGAAGAAAAAAAGGCAATACCAATGCCATAATTAAAGAAAGAGAGAAAGCCTGGCAGACAACAGCAGACCGGCTTAATGCTTAAGTAGTCCAAAACTGTACAATGAATAAACAGTGCTCCACTGGAACTGTCATAATTAGGCTCCAATTAAAGGACTAAAGGAGTTACTTTAAGTCCACTAATCAACTGTTGTACACTTTGCTTTAAATGTGGCAAGTAGAGGTGCATGTTACTTAAATGTAGAGTATGATTAAGTGCAAACAATTATCCACAATGTGTGTCATTTAATCTATTTTTATCTATTTTATCTTTCTATCCTTCATAAAGAACAAACTTGTCTGGCCATAAAAGGACCTGGCAGCAAGTTAAAGTTAAATACAAGAACATTTTGCAGGCTGGTAAGTGACTTTAAAGTAGATAACAGTGAACAAATGAGGTGAATAGATTAGGTGTCTGCTGACATGTTGAATGTCTGTATGATTGTAGCGGTTAAAAAAAAAGCCCATAGAACTGGCACAGGGGGCGGCCCACCAAGCCAGGATATGTGCTGCAAATGGTTCCTTTATTGAGGTTCTCTGCATCCCCAACAGAATAAAGGAAGCTCCCACTTGCAAAACATCTCAATGTAACACAGACCATCTGTGGTACAGTGAGAGCATGGCTTCCTGCCGTCTGGTGCTGTATTTTTGGACCCAGCAGCCTACATAAATATCTTAGTCCATCACCTGAGAATCTGTATCTCTCAATGAGATAGTCATCTCCAACAGCCAATGGGTCTGACCTGTCCCAGAAGACTCTTTCATGACTAAATGCTCGTCTGAGGATTAGGGCTTCCTCATCCAGTACATCCTCCAAGAAAGGGCAAGCCATTATGAAGAGGGAACAGGTGTGAATAATATATATATATATATATATATATATATATATATATATATATATTATGACATGCCGTTTAGGAAATAAATCTTTGTATATATGGAATGAAGCTTGGCTATAAAAATGATAAAAATGTGAGAATACTGAATGAAATTCAAAACCTAGTTGTATCCTTTTCATCAAAGTGATAGCCTTCTGAATTAGCTGGTTTTACAAAATGGCATCAGTTGAAATATTACAATACTTTCTTGAACTGGAAAACTTTTTTGCTTTTTCTGTCAGGATTTTGACTGAGGCCTGTTGTGGTCGGCCTGCCACCACTAAAAAGGGAGTGAACTTCTTCGTCAGGAGAACGGTATTGGGCACGGGTACTATCGGGAGGATTTTGGCCCCTACAAGCACTTGCCAATGAGTTAATAATGTCCTCATTGCTCAGTATTGCTGCCACAAAGTTCCTGACTGACTCATTCTCACTTCTACAAGATGGCAGCAGTGCCTTGATGACCAGTCAAGTTTCATTCTATATATTCAAAGATTAATTTTATATATTCAAAGATTAATTTCCTAAACAGCATGCCATAATATATGTACTATATTGCCCTTGTCACAGATTTAATTGAAAACACCTTTGCAACTTCATCAGCTGTGTTTTGTAATCTCAATTACTGCAATAAAACACATATTTATGCAATTTGACAAGCAGTCTTCATTAGCATAGCAATATAACACTTGTCCTGAGTAATAATACTACCACTTGAATCAATATAAAAAGACTGTTGCAATTACAAACAGCCAACAGATTTAAATGAAATAAGAAATTACAATATATATGTAATATTTTAATGCAGGATAATTAAAATGATGCAACATACTTAGAAAGACCATGGACATGCTGTAAAACACATTAATTCCTCACAGGATTGATGATGGAAATACAGGTGAATCACTAGGATTAATCTTAGCCTGGCTGTTAGCCTGGTCTGGAGCAGGCTAGCTGCAGAGAATAAATCACCACAGTAACTTGGCCGGGATAAGTTTAACCTGCTTTCATGCAACCGACTTGAGGCTAAATTCAGCCAGGATAACCAACATATCCCGGCTTAATCCCTTATCCTGGTTTTGTGCAATACCCTTCAGGACTCTCCTGAGCCAGCCCTATCTATAAGCTTTATCAAAGAGGAACGTTTAAGCCTACTTAAATGTGGAGAGGGTGTCTCTCTCCCGAATCACAACTGGAAACTGGTTCCACAAGAAAGGAGCTTGGTAGCTAAAGGCTCTGGCTCCTGTTCTACTTTTTGAAACTACAGCAACTACAAATAGCCCTGCATTCAGAGAGCGCAGTGTTCTACAGGGGTAATAGGATACTTTGAGCTCTTTAAGATATGAAGGGGCCTGACCATGAAGAGCTTTGTAGGTAGGGAGGAGAATTTTAAATTCTATTCTAAATTTTACTGGGAGCCAGTGCAGAGAAGCTAATACAGGAGAGATATGATCTCTTTTCCTAGTTCCTGTCAGTACTCGTGCTGCAGCATTTTGAATTAATTGGAGTGTCTTAATGGACTTATTGGGGCAACCTGATAGTAAGGAATGGCATTAATCCAGCCTAGAAGTAACAAATGCATGGATTAGTTTTTCTGAAAAAAGGCAGTCGTGGAGGTCTGCTTTATGTTGAACTGTTAGCATATTTAGTGTATTCTTCACTGTCTTCATTGGTACAAGCTCTTGCTGGGACTTTAAAGTCAACAGCAAGTACTCGAGCAAGCAAATTAAGTGCTAAATTCTGCATATGCACTAAATTCTTAGCCATCATAGCCTCCTTCAACAATAGGCCACACACAGCTCCCAGGATGACACTGCAGCCTCTGTCAAGAATTTGAAGTTACTCAGTAACAAACTCAGTATAGCCTTACCAAACGTAAAGGAAAATTCTATATGAATCTATTTAAATCTCTATTATATTATAAGGAGATGGAAATTATATTTATACCTGGTGAATTTCTTAAATGGTGCCATTGTGGGTCCACTGGTCATGCTTACTTTGCTCTCATCGCCTCAAAGATTTGGGGAACACAGCTTTCCATTGATGATTATTGACGTTCTTTTCGGGAGAGTTGCAACTCATCTGTGACTGATGACTGTCAAAATGTATTGCACGTTGATACTTCTTTTTGAATGTCATTCTTCAATATTTGTGCTGTGCAAAGTACTCCACAGTCCAAAATGAGAGTTCCAACATTTAGAAGCTACAACCAAGTAGCTTTTAGTTTCTGGGTTGAGGAACAACCAGCAGACCCTGATCAGAGGAGCCTAGAGACCAGCTGGTAATAGCTGTTTAATTTGGCTCCGGTGGTAGAGCGTGTCATCTAGTAATCAGAGGTTCACTGATTTGATTCCCAGACCCCCCAGTCTAAACTAATTGTCATTGGACAAGATATTGAACCCCAAATTGCTGCCAATGTCTCTGCCAAACAACATAAATGTATTTCGATTTTCAACACTGAGTATAACCTTAGACTTGAAAGAATGCAGTCCTCTCAAGTTTGTGGCTTTAACATTGCATATCATGAAGACCTTTGAGAGACTGGTTCTGCAGCACGTCAGGCCCCTGGTACGTAACTGCCTAGACCCTCTGCAGTTTGCGTGTTGACATCAGCGTGGATAATGCCATCATCAACCTTATTCAACGAGGTTACACTCACCTGAAGAGGATCATGTTCTTCGACCTCTCCAGCGCTTTTGACACCGTCTAGCCTTCCCGGCTAGCAGAGAAGTTCTCTGTGATGCAGGTGGATCAGGACCTTGTGGCCTGGATCACAGACTACCTCACTGACAGACCACAATATGTCCGACTGTACAGCTGCTTGTCAGATGTGGTGACAAGCAGCATGGCACACCCCGAGGAACTGTACTGTCACCATTTCTGTTCACCCTCTACACCTCTGACTTTTGCTTCAACTGGGGAGTGTGCCATCTACAGAAGTTCTCAGATGACTCCTCCATTGTCAGCTGTATCACAGACGATGGGGAGGAGGCTCGGGTCTTTCAATGTGTGCACTAGGCTACTACGGATGTTCTACCAGTCTGTAGTGGCCAATGACCCTTTCTTTGTCTCCTCTTTGTGCTGGGGAGGTGGCATCAGGACTTGTAGTGCCAATAAACTCAAAAAGCTGGTGAAGAAGGCCCGCTTGGTGGTGGGGATGGATCTGGACAATTTGGAGGCAGTGACTGAGAAGAGGATAAGAGGGAAGCTGAACGCCATCATGAACAACCCCTCTCATCCTCTCTACACTGAGCTGAGGCAACTCAGGAGCACATAGTGTCTCCCACCGCCGCTGATTTAGACTATTTAACTTTAACCTGCTATGTGCAACTCTTTTTGCACAAATTTATCTTGTAACAATATGTATTATATCTTTAATATATTTTTATTTTAGTATTCTTTTATTGTATTTTTATTCTTCTCTAATTTCTACTATTTGTACTCAATTCCTCTGTGTCAAACTTGAATTTCTCCCACAGGGGATAATAAGTAACATCTCATCTTTATTTGAATGGAGTCTATTGACGAAGGTGCTGCATTGGCCAATCAAATGTTTGCAAACACTGGGAAACTGTGGCTCAGGATGTAGCAGGTTGTCCACTAATCAGAAGGACAAGATACTCAACCCCAAATTTCTCCTGATGCTGTGTCATCAGCGTGTGAATGGTTAGTTCCTTTCAGATGACCAGTTGCACCGACCGTCAGTGTATGAATGCATATGAATGGGTGAGTGTGACATGTAGTGTAAAGCGCTTTGAGTCGTTGGAAAACTAGAAAGGCGCCTTAAGTGCAGTCCTTTTACCATTACCATTCAGTTAATTACTTTTAACTTGATGTAATATGAAGGCAGTATGTCTACTGCATAGTAGTTGCTGCCATAATAGCTTTTCAGAGACTTTCCAGTTAACTTTCCTGCTGTGAGTATGAATATGCATTGATCTGTTACTCTAACTTGACTTCCTAGACTGTATTTCATTGCACTTTAAATGACCAGTGTGAAGGATTTAGTGGCCTCTAGCAGTGAGGTTTCAGATTGCAACACTGTTGGCATCTGTATTTCACGACCTGGGAATGAGAGTGGTCTGTGAAGTGTGTAGGAAAAACTACAGTGGTTGCAAAAGGCCTTATTATGGGCTGATTTTTGTGTCAGTAGAAACTGAATTTGAATCATTTAGAACTGAATCTGAATTGCTCAACTTGAATAATTGCATTAAAAAACTGAATTTGAATTGCATAATTTGAATTTGTATTGTTCAACTTTAATAACTGTATTGAAAAACTAAATCTGAATAGCATAATTTGAATTTGAATTTATTAGTTTGAAACTGAATTCCAATAAACTTGAAACTGAATATAATATTATGAATCTGAATTCACTTGCAACTGAAACTGTATTTGAGCCTCACTAAAATTCAACTTTTTATGTACTTTCACTTTCAGTTCTCTCAATTCAAATTCAGTTCTCTAAATTCAATTTCAATCCACAAGATTCACTTTTAAGGTCACAGACGGGTCAAGGTCGTTCAGTACACTGTAAAAAAGCCAACTTTTATTTTTTGGCCTAAATAAGTATTTAAAGTAGTTAAGACTATAAAATATAAGTTATTAACATTTAACGCAAAAACTTAAGTCAGTCCAGCAAACCAAGTGATTTGTTGGCATCAATACAGTTAAGTGAGTTAGTACCACTTATATCTTTGAGTTTCAGAGTTTCGATTCAGAACAAGGAGTGAAAGTTCAGATAACTTTTTTGTTTTTTTGTTGGAAAATGCGGGAAAGCCAACTTTTAGGGTTGAGACTCATCACTTGCGCTCTGCTGCTCTCCTGTCTGGCTGTCTCCCATCGGAGCTGGAGTTGACACCACTCAGGTAAGTTTTAACTTAATTTTCATGTATGTTAAAATAATTTCTGACTTTTTATTCATGATTGTATTGTATTAGAAATCAATAAATAAGATAAAAAGCATTATCATTGACAACAGTAAACGTTAAACATGAATAACTTAAAATAATGAACTTTGGCAGCTAGCTGATGCTAGCGATTAGCTTGTGTTAGTGACGTTAAAATAGTGCCAGAATTCATATTCAGGGTTATATTGTGTGACAAATCAATGGATAAGATTAGCAATATCATTGACAACAGTAAACATTTAATAGAAATAGTTAAATTAGTGAACGCTAGCAGCTAGCTGATGCTAGTGCCTAGCTTGTGCTAGTGATGCTTGTCTGGGCAAGTACCCTTCAAATGGCCATGTTATTTTTCGACTGCTTTGTCTGAATGATGAAGTCAGCAGGTTGAATTGACAGTATGAGCAGACAGAGAGCAGGAAGGTGGCCTGCTCTGTTTTGTGAGGAAGAGGTAAGAAGCTGAGCAAAGAATATATATCATAAATGTGTTTCTTTTCAAAATGAGAGTCGAGTTGCTTCTGTATATAAAATGCATATTTTTATATTAGGATGGTGTTGGAATTGTATGACTTTGTATTGAAGATTTATATTTGCTATTCAAAAATTTTCAACAGATCAGTGAAGAGTTCCATCGGATCACCAACAAGAACTTAATAAACAACTTCAGAGCAGCCATTAATCAGCACACAGGTGTTTAACAGGTGTTTGTTGGATGTGGAAGAATAAAGTTGTTTGCATGTTTGCTCCGAGCTTTCTACATGATAGTTACATATTGTCATAATGTTTCTTCCAACTTTTTGTGTTTAAGACATCTAACATCACAGCACCCTTGAAGGTCTTCCCGTGTATCTCCGTGGCACTCATGAGAAGCTGTTCAGGAAGTGTCTTGTGAGTGACTTGTTTGTAGAAACTGAAAATATATACAGTGTGAGAGATAGACTCCTAAGATGTTATTAATGCTGTTCTTGACTCTGACTTTAACCTTTACCTTTCTTTTCCTTTTTCTATTTTCTAATTTTTTGCATTCTTTGTCTGCCCCAGTGCCCAAAGTGTATTTTTCTGCCAATGGCATGATATAACTGATGTCATATATATGGGGATTACATTTTTTGGGGTATGAGATGGAAATGTTTAATACATCAAACAAAAAATGTATAAAATATTTGGGATCATTTTAGATGAAAGCCTATTCTGAGCCACAGTATTTAATGATAAATGTCTTTCAGTTTGATTTACTACTGTGTTGGTTATTTGCTTTCTGTCACCACAAGGCAACTGATCCAGAAGCAGACGAAGGGCCTCACTGTGGGCATCCTGACTGTGTTGGAGGATGATGATAGTTCAGGTCCTGCAAGTGTCATAAACGTTGCTGTGATTGTAGAAGAAGCCATCGTCCTTCAGGATCTCCCTGACCTGCTGACAGCTTTTGCACACCTTTTTGGGCTGATCTACGCTTTGAACCTCCAGTACCCAAAAGAACTGAGGTACACTTTTGAAACCATTCAGAAGGTTTTCATGGAACTTGGGACAGATTTCTCTGCAAGGGTGAGATCCTTCAAAAACAAACTCTTTCAGTTAATCCAGCAAGTTAGCTGAGAACATTGGTACGTTCTGAGACAGTTGTGAATTGTTGCCATTTGTTGCCATTTACCAGAGATGAATCTTCTACATCTTGTACTTTTACTCTCTTCCCCTTTTCTCTCTTTTTCTCAAGTTCCCTTTCTCCACCTCTGCCCCTTTTTGGATTTTTCGTAACCATGTGGCTTATGTTAAGATTTAATTGTGTGTTAATCAATGACACATACCTTTTTGCCAGAACTTGTTCTGAGACTGAAACTTCTGGACCTAAATATTTGTTATTTTATAGTCTATAAGTTTTGTTAGATTGACAATTCTGGACAACATATATATATCTTTTGGTAACCGAATCTTCTTAATGTAACAATTATTGTTAAATATTACATATTGGTGTAGATTACTCCACCTCAACCTTGACCCATGTTTTACTACCTCATTGTATTTTGATGCTCATGTCTTGTCACAGCTATGGGCACTTCCAATTCAAGATGTGTTTTGATAAAATACATTTTTTTGAATGTAGACAATGCATCTGTAATACTTTATACATTTGATGGTAATTTATGGGTCCTTATTTATAAATCTGAGTTACTGGAATAAAGTGGGTACTATGTATAGATTAAAATTACTCTCTAACGCTAACACTAATTACTCTGACAGATGAGAACTCAAAGTTGTGACATTGTGACATTATAAGTTACTATAACTCTGATTAGAGTAAGTATTCAAAGTTGAGATAATGTTAAATTAGAGGTTACTGCAACTTTAGTAGAGTAAGTAGAAATAAGGATTCAAAGTTGAGATGCTGTGAAATTATAAGTTACTACAATTTGAATAGAGTTAGTACAAGTAAGGATTCAAAGTTGAGTTAATGTGAAATTATAAATAACTACAACTTGAGCTAGGGTTACATGAGTTGAGATAACTTAAAAATGAAAGTTGAACAAACTTAAAAGCAAAACTTTAACAGTTAAGTTGAATTTCCTAACTTAAAATCTGCCTGAAGTTTGTTGCCTTACAATTTTAAGTTCTGCCAACTTTTTTTTTTTTTTTTACAGTGTAAGAGCAATCGAGTGCAGATGCACAGAGCTCCTTTTTGGCCAAGCAGCACGTTTGTTTTTGACCATTTCCTGGACCTGTAGACATTGGCTAGTGAAAAACATGCTTAAAACAATATGTACTAACCAGAAAAAATTAACAGCCGACTCCTAATACGTTTTTTCTATGTCGGGGCTCAAATTTACAGTGCAGTAGATAGAGTCACTCTGCTTGATTGACAGGTCGCCACAGACTTGTCAATCACAAGGTAGCCCCGCCCTAAAGCATACCCTGCTTTATCGTCTATTTTCCTCTAAATAGGATCGGAAGTTACACCTTTAAATGAACATCATGCTGTGTTGAAAAGGACTTGAAACTGATGATTAAGATCAAAAACTCATAAAAAAAATGATGATAACAGTCAGGTGGGAAACTTATTTTGACATTATTTCTGATGGAAGTAGGCTTCCTTATCCAGTGAAGTCACCCTCTGCTGGCTGTTGGAAAGAATGGCGGCTTACTCTGCACTCGATTGCTTCTTCCTCAAGGACCTTGACCTGTCTGTGACCTTAAAAGTGAATCTTGTGGATTGAAATTGAATTTAGAGAAGTACATAAAAAGTAGAATTTTTTGTGAGGCTCAAATACAGTTTCAGTTGCAAGTTTATTGGAATTCAGTTTCAAACTAATAAATTCAAATTCAAATTATGCTATTCAGATTCAGTTTTTCAATACAGTTATTCAAGTTAAACAATACAAATTCAAATTATGCAATTCAAATTCAGTTTTTTAATGCAAATATTCAAGTTGAGCAATTCAGATTCAGTTCTAAATGATTCAAATTCAGTTTCCACTGACACAAAAATCAGCCCATACCTTATCTTCAGCCAATGTTTGGTTTAGAGTTCCACTGTGTCTGTAGATAAAAATGGCTGTCCCTGTATTATTTTATCACAGGGATGTTTTTCATTCTGAGTCCTCGCTTAGGGGTTGAAATAATCACAACATGATGTAATAATGCATTATCAATCAAAAACAATCTGCTGCATTTTGTAATAAATAGCCTGAACCCGATATGTAAAAAATGTGCCCACATTTTTATATAAATGATTACTTATAATATATATATATATATATATATATATATATATATATATATATATTCAATAATCTGTTTGTTTTGAAAGCCCTGTCAAAAGAGCACTGCAGTAGTCAACCTTACTAGAAAGAAAAGTTTTTCGAGGTCAGCATATGACACAAACAGTTTGAGCTGTATTTGTAAGATAATAACAAGCTGATCTTGTTACTGCTTTTATTTCGCTTAATTATAGTTTTGGGATGTTTAATTTAGGTTAATTGTTAAATATATAGTGAATATAAAGTGTATGGATGAAGACATCCATTTTGTATGATAATAATTTATTGCAAAATGCGAGGAAATGTATTACATTTTGGGTTCAAGCTGTTTATTACAAAAGGCACAAGATTGTTACAAAATATGGGTTATATTACATAATGAAGTGAACATTTGTGAAAAACTACTACTTTTTTACTATTATTACTTTTTGTTATTATAAATGCGATTATTACAGAATGTGTTTTTACATGTGATGTTGACTATAACTGACAAGTTGGATTTCATAATGGAATGACAATGAATGGAGAGCAATAGTCGTGCAAAAACACTGGAGTGATTTTCTGTCTGGAATTTATTGTAATATTAAAGATAATTTTACCTGACAAGTATTAAGATAGCTTTGGGACAGCCTGACAGTTGTTCAGTGAAAGCAGCAACACCACCTAATCAGTCCCTCCAGAAAAAGGCGATTATGCGATCGCATAATTCAATGCATAATCAGCCAAAGTCTGCATATTTATGCGGGGGCCGCATTTTTTCAAATACGCCTCACTTTTGCCGCATAAATTGCTGATTTCCGCGCAAAATACGCGGGGCTTGCATGATTTCATATTCCCCGCATTTTCGTTGCAAAAAAAGTCACATATATCTTAGCAGAAAGTTGAAAAATGTTGCGTTTACCTCACACAAGAGCAGCCATTTTCCCCTGTTGCCATGGGAACGTTATGAAGTGACGTAATTACGCAACGTGAACATCATTGAAAAGCTGCATACCACGCGATGAAGCCGCAGTTTTTGCAAGTTCATCGCATAAAATTGCATAAATATCCCGCATATTCCATCGCATTTTTTAAGAGAACGTGCCGCATAATCAAGGATTTTTGCCCCCAACAATCACAAAAAACGTTTTTCTGGAAGGACTGCCTAATCAGTTTCTCAGCCACAAGCAGCCACTGAACCCTTGGACTGAACTGAACAGTTAAGGTTTACTGCAGTGTTCCCTTTGTAATGCTGTCTGCCTGTGCCTGTAGTTCCCAGGTACACCTTAACACCTTACAGCCTTACAGCTGCTTTCTCCTTTATCTGAAGTCCTAACACAACAATTTTCAAGTTTCATGTTGTTGATTTTTTTTTTCGTTATTCCTAGTTCCCAGGCTCCTTCCACCATTCTACAAATATACAAAATATGTATAAAAAGAAAACCACACAAGTAAAAATGAGAATCTAATATATAGAGACATAAAATGGTGCAAAAGTATAATATATGAAATATAAAATAAAATCAATATACTGTTGTAGACAGGTGAACAGTAATTGCAAAATCAATAAAGTGTACTATAAACAGGTGCAGTAATTTGGTTAATGCATATGCATAATGACAACCAGCAGACTGGTAATTCACAATATGGGAGCCCAACCGATATGACATCCAATATAAATTTTAGAGGGGGAAAAATCACAGATTACTGATATGGCAATATGAATTTTGAGGTGGAATGAAAATAGACCTTTTCTCTGTGGATTGTGCAACAATTGTGATTGCATGGATGTGACTATGCAAAGGTACTCAGGAGACTGCTTGCACATACCACAATGATTTTTAAAATGTATTTAAATGGTAAATGGACTGTACTTACATAGCACCTCTTAGTCTTTTGACCACGCAATGCGTTGCACACTACATGCCTGAAATATTTGAAAATATCTAACTCTTTGTCAGCTGATGGAGTGTCTTTCTGACTGGGGTTTGTATTTGGGTTATTAAGCCTCTCTGTATACCTCTATACCACCACCACATAGTAGGACTCCCAGGGAAACCAACAGTAGAGGATCCTGAGGAGGAGCAGGTAGATGGTCCATATCTGTGGCAGCAAAAATGTGCTGTAAATCAATTATTATTATATTAAATTGCACCCGGTGCATGGGAGTGAGCAGAGACTGATAGGGACTCTCATTTAATTCAAGTTTGTTAATATGCTGTACATGATGTGTAATTACTAGTTGAATATTTTTCTTCTTGCACCATAATGGGGGGAAAAATTTACATAATGATGTAAAGAATCTCCTACACAACGTAAGATTTTCCCATTCACGGTGTTCATTAAACTGATCTTATTTGATTTATGAGTAAGCGATGATACTTTATATCAGAAAACTACATTCACAACATTTATATGTGGGTGTCTCAGATTTTCGACTACATAAGGAGCAGAAATCCATACAAATATTTTATTCTCAAATAGTCCACTGTATCATTCTGCAACCCCACACTATAGGTCTCTTGGTATCATTCAGAATCAAGTTTATTGCCAAGTAGGTTTTACATACATTTTGCATTACAATAGTATAATCGTATGAGGAAATATGAAAACAAATACTGCCTGTCAAGAAGCATAAGTAGAAAACAGAAAATTGATAATAACATATGAAAAACCTTATAAAACAAAATGTACTATATTACGTATTTAAATGAAAGAGCTGTTCAGCTTGTGCAGGAATGTGCAAAATGTGCAAACACCAGTCTTAGCTTAGATAAACACACTAAATCTATGTACTGTATACTATTTTCTGAACCTGTGAACTATTTAAAAGATAAGACTGTGTATGGAAACTGCTATTATCCCTTCATCACAAAGAAACAAGACCAAATTTCATTGATCCTGGCTTCCCTCCATGGCCCCTGGCTATCTGCTTCCAAACAAACATTACCAGCACTTCTCTAATACTTTTGTTCTAGAATATGTCTCGCAGCCAGGATATAGAGTGCTTAGAACAGCAAATCTAAAAACCTAACTAATAACTGCTGAACTCTAGCAGCAGTTCATGTGAAAGGCTCATTCTTCATGTTAAAAATTCTTCCACACATAACTGGTCTTGTATGAAGAAGACAGAATTTGAGAATGCAGGCTGCAACCGTTTTTTGTGTCTGTGCTCTACGGATGATGTGCATTAGGTATTTTTAGGTTGGTGCTGCTGTATTATACTTCCCCAGACTATTTGAGATAGCAAGGGAAAGAGAGACCTTAGAGACCACAAAGAGTCACTGAAAGGAGTTGGGGGTGGGCAGCAGTTTTGCCTCATTCCCTAAATTCTCAACCCCCCACCTTTTTTCAGCCTTGACAGCTAAATTCCAGCCACTAGAGGCTTTTGTTCAGAAAGGGACTCTACAAACATCAGGAGTTCTTAGCAGATTTCCACAGGTCACCTATGTCTCCCTCCCCCAACTCCTACCAATTTTGTTCCTGCTGCAGCTTTTGGAAGAGTTTAATCATTTTACTCTAACAACATGGCAGCGGGCTGCTACACAGATTAGGACGTAAGAAGCAGTGGAGTTTAAGGCTGCTACAGAGATAACATTCTGCTTCACATGGAATTAGCATATATACAGAAAAAAGAAAAAAGAAATTGTCAGTTTCAGATCTCCATCAGGAATTCCCCAGATGGAATTTTAGGTCATCAGTATTGTCAATTTCACATTCATATGTCAGACACTATCACAGTTAGTAATAGGAGGAATTTGTGGTTTTGATTTGCAATTTTAGTCTAAATATAAATTATTTTGATAAATAATTGATACATTAGATAAATATTTGTAGTGCAGTTAGAGAATAAGAGTCTTAATACCCCTCATTCACTCTTTCCTTTATACTGGAAGTTACACAGCTATCCTGTGGTCCTGGCTGTTTGTTTAGTAATGGCTTGGATTCTTTTTTTATTCCTTTCACAATGCAGTTCTCTCAAATTTCTTAAATAGATATAGACATTGTCATTAGAGTATTTCTGCTAACACTATTATGCGGCAGGAAGCGAGCTGTTCCAGGCTCGACAGGTTAATTCATAACATCTGCAACATTCAACAAAACAAGGCAGAGCTGAGTGCCATGCCTAGAGTCCTTCCTGTTTCAAAGCAGCCTTGCATACACGTTGGAAAACAGCCACATGCTTTTGCATCAAATGTTTACTGATACTAAAGACTGCTGAGCTCACAAACATAATATAGACTGGACAAAATAAAAACATGTTTGTCATTTTTAACTAACCAAGAAGCAAAGACAGATTAATAAAGTCTAAGCAGATGCATTGCATTGCTTTTTTTCTTTTCTCTTCTTTTTCTTTGAGATACTCTGGGAACAGATCTTACTTCAAACAGCAGAGGCTCATAAATGCTGATCCAATTTGTCTGCACCTTTCTCCCCCCCAAACCCTCCCAACAAAAGACTGCTTGTCTGATAGAAATGTTCCACATTCCTTGCAACGACATTTTTCTTCTCTACAAAGGGTCCTTCAGCAAATTCCCCATAATCACAGGGTCTAGTTGGACCGTGATAGGTACAATTCAGAACTCTGGTGGGGCATACTCATCACACTGTTCATACTTTCAGTATGGTTCTTACTAGTATATATCTTACTCATTCATTCAGATGTTTTATGTTTTATATTTTACATACTAAACTGCATTTTGTTGTCCCAGTGCTTTTAATCAGTGCAATGACAATACAGTTGAATGGCATCTAATAAAATAGTGAAAGGACTTGTATGTCATGATACCAGAAAGTATTTTGATACCAATACCAGTGAAATTCTGCGATTCTCAATACCATGGTAAAAATCTAGTCATTTTACCATATAGTTTGTTGCTATGTGAATGAACTGTATTCTGTATTTTTGTTTGTGGGTTTTTGTTGCAGGGGTGTGGTGAGAAGAAGAAGAAGAAGAAGAAGAAGAAGAAGAAGAAGAAGAAGAAGATATACTTTATTGATCCCCCGCCTTGCTCAAGGGAACCTCGGCAGTGCACAGGAGGTGAAATTGGCACCTCTCCAGCTACCAGTCCACACTTCATATTTTTGTGGTCTGTGGGACTGTCCACCGTTATCTGTCTCACCTCTGACCAGGAGCTCAGCCTGGGTGGTTAGGGGCTGAGCACTGGTGTTTCACTGAGCTCCTGTACACACAGCTCATTGACAGAGACACAATGGAAAGAGTTGACAACGGAGCACTGTGCACGAAACGTTTTCGCAAGTAAATCACCTGTATAGCTGCACTTGTCGCTGTCTTTGATATGTTGACAGCAGACTAGATTATTTTAGGTGCATATGTCATGTCTGTCGTGTCCTAAAGAATTGCATCCTCAGTCCCTACTGTAGAAAAAAAACGAGTACCGTCATGTTTTTATCGACTTGGTACTTAAAGTATCAGTTCTTATGACATCCCTAGTACTTCAGGTAGATGATGAGATTAATGGTACTTGCCTGTACATGTATGATCCCTGGTTTATTTCCATCACTTCTGCTTACCAGGTAACAAAACATGTGGCCTTATCTAAGATGATGTTTAGGAGGTAAAGCTGGGTGGCCCAGTTCTTCTTCATAGTAGTGGTGTCATTTGCACTGGTCAATTGAATGTTTGTTCTTTTGTCTTGAACTGTTGTCTTCTGGGTGCTTTCTGTGGCTAAGCAGTGAGTGACTCAACAGAAAGCTCCACATTTTCCATAAAACCTCTTCACAACCCTTTCAGTACAAAACTCCAATATTTAGAGGAGGACCTGCATGTTTGAGCTAGTTGGGGTGCCTGATCTGGAGACAACAAGATGTAATCAGATTCTAACAGAGAAGGCATGTGAGTGACTACTTAAATCTTTACTTCTTTCTGGTGGCCCAAGCCATGAATCTTTTTGACCACTCATGCATGAAAGTCTCACAGGATCAAATTCAAAGCCTAGCTAGGTTTTTGTTGGATTGTCTAACAGCATCTAAAATCCCCTCCCCCTAAACCTTTTCAATAGTGGAATCTCCAGGGGCTGCATCTGACAATTTTAGCAACTTTAGTAACAGACAATCCAACAATCATGGCCACTTTAAGTAGTGATTGATCAGGTGTTTTGAGGTGTAAAAGCAGGCAGCAGAGAATAATAATAATAATCATCAATATATGTAATAATTGGTGCATTTGGTTGTACTTACCGATAATTATTACTAAATATCATCATAATTTAAATGCTAATTTAATGAATCACTTAATGATTTGGTTTTATAAATTTATCAGTTAAGTAATGCATTATAATTAACCACTATAACTATTCTAGTGACACACTGGAGTCTCCATAATAAACTGATTCATACCCATTTCCTACAAGCATCCCAGACAAACCCATCACTTCAGCAGACTGTTAATTCCCATGTCTTTTACAAGCCTGCCAGATAAGTAAAATGTTTACCTACATTAGTGCTCTATTAGGCAAAGTTGTTACACTTTAACTATGTAAAATGTAAGCATTTTTTAAGAGCCTTATACTCTACCGGGCATTTCATCTGAAGAATATCTTGTGACTTTTCATCCAGGCAGACTTGTGTTTGTGGAAGGAAGTTTGAACCTAGTTTGTCAAATTATCTATTTTGCTTCAAAGGAGGTCCAAAGGTTAGTAGGCCCAGCTCAAACAGCAGCAGCACATATCTTATTGGATAATTAACACTCAGACTGGACAGCAGAAAAGAGCAGGTACACCTACAGTACATAGATACACAATGCACTGTATGCAGACACATCAGGTACCCTTACATAAATACAGATGTATATATCAGACGCTTTACATTTATTTAATATATATTATACATGTAATACTATACAGGCAATCGCATGTTAAAATATAGAAGAAGTAGGCACAAGAAAATGAACAATATATTAAGAGACCCATCAAGAAGATAGATTTTTATTAATTGATCTTTGGAGTGAAACAATACTGCTTTGGTAAATATATATGTATATGCATCTAACAAAGGTAATGAAACATGATGACATTATAAGGGCGGCTGTGGCTCAGAGGCAGAGTGGGTCATCCACTAATCAGAAGGTGGTTGGTTTGATCCCCGGCTAATGGTTTTAATAAGGAGTTCCACTCAAGTGTTTAGCAAGTTTTTCACCAATATCATTATCAAATTTCGATAATAAAATCCTTGCCAAAATTCTTGCAGCCCGATTACTTGATGTAATTGGAAATCTGACCAAACTGTTTTCATGAAAAATTTACATTCATCTAATAACACAAGTAAATTACTCAATATCAAGGAATCAATGAAATATATATGTATATATATATGTATATGTATGTGTCTTTATATAAATGTATGTACAGATACTTCTCCCTGTCTATTTTTGCTGGGAACGGCATGCCTGGTGGAAAAAGTAGGCCAGACCTCTCTGATAACCCCAACCTCCCTCGCTCCTCCTCCTACCCGCTCCCCAAAAATGATAGTACTCACATCACTTGTTTGTTGATTATCAGAATTGTGTATGTTATTTTTCTGTATTTTGTGAGTTAATGAAAGGAGAAAAAACAGGCTTCTGAAAAAAACACAATGAATGCTAATCTTTTAAGTTAATAACTGTATTTGCCTTGTGAGCAGGTTGCAAACTACATTGGGCCAGAGGGAGCTAGGCTTCTCTTAATAACATATAAACTCCTCTGAAAACAAGATTTTTGGTCTCTAAAATATTATAACCTCAGTTTGCTTGTCAAATCCATAGTGTGAGTCACAGTCAACATGAACATACAGTACAGTATAGACTAATAGCCTTTTTCAGTAACGGGGCTGTATAGGGGGGAAACGTTAGGACAATTCCAAGGGCCCATGACTGACAGGGGCCCCAGAAAATAGGTTAAAACTAATATACAATTATTAAACCATCATCATTGAGTATGTATATTTCAAATATAATAACACAATTAATGATCTCTTTGTTTTTACTTGTTTTTGGCAGTAAAAGTTAAATATCCCCACTGATCAAAAAGTAAACATCCATATTGACCGACCACCCCCCTGTATCTGCATGAAATGGTTTGGTCCTGCCTTAGCACTTATCAGTGACGGTGTTTAGTTGCAGTAGATGCGCCAGAACTACAGTGATTACAATGTTAACTAGTAAATCAAAATCTGGTTTTCAAAAAAGGAAAGAGAGGAAAGACAAAGGAAAGGATGTCAATCTGTAACCCAGTTTTTCACCAAGAAAGGAGCCTATAGTCTGTGAGTGGTATTAACCTGTTGGCTTAATGTCCATAGGGAAATAAGCTAGCTAGCTACAGACTAGTGTTAGCCTACATTAATCACCATTTAATCAGTTCAGGGAAACGTTTAGCAAGATATTCATATTAAATCATTGTCCCTGCCCCTTTTAGCAGACTTAACAACAGATGAGTCAGCAGCACCCCAGTCTCCCCATCACTGTACCCCTCCCTGTCCCAGTGAAGGTGAGCAACATTGTGTTCAATGACAGGTCAGTTAGCATCTTTGCAGGGAGTCTGTGGGGATTTCTCTGTCTCTCTTGCTCTTTTTACCATTACAAAAAAGAAAATGAAATATTTATTAATGACAGAAATTCAAACACATTAATAGCAATTGTTTTCTCACATAATGATCATTATGAAATAAAATAAAAAAACAACAACCTACTGTCTGTACTGGATGCTGGACAGTTGGAAACAGTGAGTAGCTTACCTGAGCCTGCATGTAAGATACAGACAGTAGTAAAATAACCCAGTTTGATACGCTCATTTAGATTGAATAATGGAATGACATCTATAGATACAGACTTTATTATGATAATAATTAATAATAATAATTAATTTCGTTAAGAGAATTTTCCATTTTGAAATTTTACAATAAAAATACATTGAGACTGTAAAAGATGGCCTTTAGCACATTTTTATGGTTGCTTTTAATCTTGCATCAAATAGTGAACTGCATACTGTATGCAGACTTGCATGTATGTACAAATCACCAGCAGTAAATATTGTGGTAAATGGACCTGTACTTGTATAGCACCTTTCTAGTCTTCCAACCACTCAAAGCGCTTTTACACTATGTGCCACATTCACCCTTTGACACACATTCACTCAGTGATGGCAAAGTCCATTGAACAGAAACTAACATTCACAGGGCCGGCCCAAGGCATAAGCGAACTAAGCAGCTGCTTAGGGCCCTGTGACCACTAGGGGGCCCCCAAGAGCAATTAACTTAAAAAATTAAAAATTAATTAATTATTTTTTTCCATGTGTGAGTGATGATGATTCACATATTATCAAATGTACATTGTTGTACATAAAAACCCAACAACAATATGATGTTAACAGAGTGTAGTTTCCTACTGCCTCTCTGCTCGAAGTGTCAGAGCTCCGTTAGTAACGTGTGCAGTGAGCATCCAGAAACTAGGAGCAGGTGAAAGATGTGGCAAGAAAGGACTTAACGTTACCTTCAGGGGCAGAAAGACGAAGAAGAAGGAAGAGGAAGAGGAGAAAAAACGATAAAGGTATGTCTTGGTAATGTAACATTTATTGATATTTTGTGTCAAATACATTAGCCTATAATCGCAAATTTGCTCGCTAACATTAGTTCAAAACGTCTTACTAGGTTAGATAGCTTACTATTCAAGCTAACGTTGTTGTGTTTGTGTAAAACTTTTAATAAGTTGATTCTCAGTGTATTTATATTATTCTGGGTCGCTTTTTGGCTTCAAAACAACGTTTTTGATAACAACGTTTGATAGCAAATGTTTAATAACTAACTTTAATTACAAACGCGGTGACGTTTGCTAGCAATATGGTTTTGCATTAATGAATTAATTTAGTTAACTTATAGTTTGAGGTATGTTGTTTGCAATTGTTTGCTGCAGAGCACAGTAATTTATGTGAGTAAATAAACATATTCCTCTTACATGAACTCCCTATTGTGCTCATACGTTATATAAAACTTCCCCAGGAGCACTGTTAAAATATTTAGGAGGAGGCACTGACTCATCCCAGGGGCAATCCACCTCCTCAGGAGCAGCCAAGGCTGATGAATCAGGTGGTCAAAAACTGTCACCATATATATTTAATTTCTAGTCAAATGATCTCATTAAGATATACTAATATAAGATATAATCATATGACAAGGGACATGTTTTTCATCTCAGGTCCATCTCTATCCTCTGCTCCATCCACTGTGCCCACTGTCCCTACTGTGTCTTCTGCAACCTCAGCTGTACCTGGTAAATTAACAACAAAACAGCCTTTATAATTGATCAGTGTACTGCAGAATATTCTGAGATGAATAATTCTGTCCAAAAATATTATTTTAATTTCCCTATAGGTCCTTCATCTTTGGTCATGGAGATTGATGTGTCTTCTTCAGCATCCAGTTTGGAGCAGGGATCAGCAGCTCCGCCAGTTGACCCAGCTGAGTGTCCCTCTTTCCTGTCAGACTCAGAAAGGACTAAACAGGTATTAAGAGGGCCACTGCCTATAAAGGACACATTCACATTCCCAAAAAGACATGATGGCCGAAGCTTCCACTAACATTACACATACAGACACCTAGTAAATGGGGAAAAAGTAAAGCGGAGCTGGCTCACATATTCAAAAAATAAATTATATGCAAATTATATTTACCATTTGTGTTACCTTGTTTTAGGTGCCTGTTGATTTACATCATTATTTAAGTATTTAAGTATTGTCTGATATTTTTTTAATTTATTTTATTTAATGCTGACTGTTTTTGTACATTTGGTGTTGCAGTTTATTTAAAAAAATAATAATAAAGCAGATTGTGTTTACAGTAAACGATTAGTTTATTTTGTTACTTTTAATTGGCCTTAGTACTATATAATTTTGAATATTAAGTGTTAATCAACCCCAGGCTGCTCTTGTAGCTGAATTTACTACCATTTCAGATTAAAAACCATAGATGGGTAAAACATGCCGGGCTGCTTTTTAAGGTTTTATGTATAGTAGGGAGAGTTGCTGACTTTGCTAAATATTAATTGAAAGATTTTTCTGTAAATTTGCAAATCTGGTGTCTGCTTCCATGGCATTAATCAGAGTGGATTACAATCTAACTACAACAAAAAGTTCTCACATTTAGTTTTACAAGTGTATTCGTAATGACAGAGTAGAATAAGTAGAATACGTTTATAGTAGGTGTGTGAATGATCAATAATCATTATTATTGGCAGTAATAGAGGGCCCCAAAATCAAATTTTGCTTAGGGCCCCATGGAGGCTTGGGCCGGCCCTGCTTCTACTTTTAAGCCTTGGTCACACAAGATGACTTTCAAACTCATCAGATCAATGTACTGTTCAAACTACACAACTTTCTATCTTGTAATCAAGAATCATGAAGTCATTGTGGTTTGCATACTACATTACAAGATCTTTCACCAGGAGATATCCACGACAAGTTTGTCTGGTCTCCAAACTAGCTGTTTGTGTTGAGTAAAGAGACAGAAAAAAAGAGCTCTATAGCTGCGTACTCATATTGTGGTTCAGCAAGTGTATCTATGCCAATGTATTCCTATAGAAACCGTATTACTACAAATAGATGCATGGTCATACTGGGTTCACTACTGTGGATGACAGTGTGTGTCTGCTCTCACTGACTGTAACATGTTGCATGGCTCCCAGATCCATGCCTGGCTTTTGGATCATGTATTTGAACAGTACAACACACATACCAATCGAGTGCTGATTTGCAAGCATCGAGTACACACTGATTTGGCTCTGATCTGGGGACTTTTGTCTGTGATATCAGTGCAGTAAACCTGGCATTAAGGCTCAAACACACCGCATCAAAACAGCCGCGCGTATTATGTTCTATGTTAAACAACACAGACACACCCCGTTTCACCTCACACCACTGTCCTGTTTTAAGTGTCATTGTGCCTGAAATTATAAATTATAATGGCAAAAAAGACATGGTGAGTCATAGATCTGGAGATTGGCTGTTCAGGTGAGTTTAAATAGTGGTGTCCACACTTTATTTTGAGCTAATGTCTTATGGTAGACATTTTATATAGTACGATCAATTTTAGTAAGAAAAAGTAAACAGTTGGCCTTCACAGTTGGTTCAGATTACATACCGCTGAATGGGACAACTATGCCACCTGTTGTTGTAAATGTGTGCCAGCATTGGGTAGCATATTTGTCATCATTGCAGATCTGCTGTTACCATAAACCTTAACAGCTCTGAAAGATGCACACCCTGCAGTGCTGTGTCAATCTGTGCTAGCGTTATGTGTGTTTTGGCCTTTAGTCATACTGGGATACATATGATTGAAGCTGCACGTTGTCCTCATGCTAAGCCTCAAGCTGCCCCGCAAGTCACTTGTAGGATTAAGCAGCTGCTGCTGCCTACACGTGATTCATAGTGTTAGGTCGAGGCAACATCAAAGACCTAAGAGCATGTGAATGACAGTGCTGCAATTTCTCTTTTGTGCTATAGAGGGAGAGGGGTCTGGTTTTTTACCTCTGTACTTAATACTAATACTTTATCCCAGATGCAGATTTATTATGCCTCTATGATTTTATTATGCCTCTGTGGCGGTCATAACAGTGGCCAGAGGCCTTGTGTTTTTGGCTTGTCTATCCGTCTATCTGAGACTATGACTGTATTTCACAGTTGGTTGGACACTGAATGGTGGTGACACTTTTAACTCAGAGGTCAAAGGTCATTGTGACCTTAAAATTCAGTTAATGAATTTGATGATTCTAAGTGTGTGGAACAACACAATGAGTAAAAAATAACTAACACTATGGGCTTTCATCTTTGCATCTCATCCAGTCACATCATATACTGTAGTTCTTACTTCACATGACTGCAAAAAGCATGTTTGAGGGCAGCTAGCTAATTTTGACCCTGTGAGTTAGTGAGTGAGAGAGTGAATTTCACCTACAGCTCATAGAGAGGTTTTGCATCTAAAAATACCAGGAGAAAACAAAAGCATCACATTAAGTATAGCTATCCATCTATACACTGTAACAAATTGCTGTAAAAATACTGGATATTTTGCACAGTAGTGTACCATTTTCCATTAATACAGTTGAATACTGTAAATTTTGATGTCTTTAAGGAACAAAATATTAACGGCAAGCTCCTGTAAAATCTTCAGTATTTATTTATTTTTTACAGCAAGCTACCTATAATCTTATGGTATAATATAGTATTTTTTTTTTCTTTTTCAGTTTTTAAATCAGACTTGATCTTCGGTCCGTTTAATAGTTCATCTGAGCAAAATAAAAAATTAAATGAAATTAAAAATAGGCCTACACATCAGGGTTTTTATTTGAGATTGAGGACACAATAACAAGAAGATGAAGAATTAGTTTTCATCCGGACTCTTAAACTGACAGGACCAAACTGGATGGAGCACTTGAGGCATCACCTGCTGCTTTCCTCACCGTTCTCTTGTCAACTGCGCAGCGCACCCTCATCCATCCTGTCCCCGTGGCTTTCTTAATAAGGTAAATATAATCTTGCAAAAGTCAGCATAATGCTAATGTGATTTTGTGTTGGACTAACATTTTATTGACTGTTTTTTGCCAAAAAGATTGAGTCAAAAGTATGTGTCGCACGCTAGCATACGTTACTCTCATTTAGCAACTATGTGGACAAAAGTTTAGCTTTCTGTTGAAGCACATTACTTAAATTAGCATAAGTTGGCTTGGGCATTTGATTTGTTGTCAGATCTAATTGAGGTTGGCTACAAGGTTCTATTTAACCATTTATTGTTTTACTTTTTCAAGTAAAACGGTTTATGGGAGTTTATAGGGAGAAGCTTGTTATGCAGGTTGATGCAAAAAGGTAAAAAGTAGCTTCAAAAATGCACTAGTGTAATATACATTAGCTAAAAGTTAGTTGACAACTTGTTGATGTAGTTATTTTTTCTTGAGAGAGTATTTTAAAGATTATTTTGCTGTGAAGGCCTGTAGTGAAAACATGATAACTTGCAACATATGTGGTAAAACCTGCAGGAATACATTTGCACATGTCAGGCACATGCAAACTCATAGGTGTTCATTTTTTATTCAATTACTGTGATAGGGTTCCATATTAAATGCAAATGATCTTTACTTACCATACCTAATATCTTATATACTTTCCCTATTATTACATTTTAGGTGCCTCATTGGGATTAATCCTGAGAGGGGAAGAAAGACCAGCCAGGGGAAGGTGGTGTCAAAGAAGATGGGGAAGCTGGTCCACAAAAAGGCAACAGCGGTGAATCCCCATGTAGCCACTCTACTAAAAATTTTGATGGACTTTGAGTGGGGCTTTATTTAGCCAGTATAGTTCAGTCCATCTGTCTCAGATGTCCAGGTTCATTTTTGGACCCACCATTGTTGAGAGCCAGTTTGATATGTTTAATTGTTATTGTTAATAGAATGTGTGTAATTTAGTTAGCTTTTACTTAGTTTTGTTAGTTGCTATGCATTTGATGCAGTGACTTTAACCCAACTGTCTTTGGGTGAAGGGAGGAAGGAGGAAGGAAAAAAACTAGCAGTAAGGTTAAATGAAGTTGAATTGGCTGATAATTTGTACACTATGCTTTGCAAACTGTCAAACCAGACCTGGTCAATTTTGAGGAGGAAAATACAAAGTTTAATGAACGTAATGTTAGCCATCACTTGTCATAGTTCAAGAAAAAATTCTGACAACCAAGTAGTAATGGTGTTTTTATGGATTTTGTAGATACTGAAAATGTTCAGCTTTAATAAATGCCTAATGTTGTAAGGCCATCTCTTGTCTGAGCCATTTCTGTGACAGCTATTTTCATTTATTATTATTATTATTATTATTATTATTTCAGGGGTTTTCATTTTTAAATGTAAAACTTTGAAATCATTAGTTTATATCACTGTGAAGATCACATTCTACAGTTTTACAGTAATAAGTTGTTAATGGAGAATACTGTAGGAACTGTAAAATAATAGTATAATTGCAACCAAAGAGCTGACAGTATAATACTGTAATGTTTATTTTCCATACAGCACAGTACTGTAATATTTTTAAAGTACTAAACTGTTGTTGTAGATCACAGTAGGGACACTGTAGAATAACAGTCTCAAGCTGGCAACTGTAACTGCCAGTAGTTTACTGTAATTTAACAGGACATTTTGTTACAGTGTAGTAATCAAGTACATGTGTACCTGTTTAGACATCTATGATAATCTTTCACTAATCAGTTCAAAAATATATATTAATTGAAATCATTCATATGTACCATATGAGTCTGGACAGACATGGGTGTAAATTGTAGCTTGACTGGTTGGCAGAGTCATACAACTGTGGGATGGTATTTCTAGTTTAGTTTAAAAATATATTTTTGGGTGTGAATTTCGGGTAGTGTTCAGACCTAATTTTTTGTTCTAGTCGGGTTAAGTCGGGTTTTAAATACCAGGGTTCAAAAGGGGTTCAAAAGGGCATGTGAAGGTATGCATTCAATGTGTGCCTAGGTACACTGTATTCCCAGACCCCCCTTTTTAGTTCTGTTTTGTCACTGGCTTTTATTTCCAGATGAAACATGAACCAGCCTGGCTTAAAATTATTGTAAATCATATTGAGTTCTGCCTAGTCACAATGTGACTAACAGATAACTAAAACTGTCCTCTTGTTAATGATAGCAAGTGGAGAGACAACACTAACCTCTCCCCTCTGCTCTCTTGCAGCCACAGCAAGATGTCCAGAAAAGTTGTCCTGAGTTTGCTCAGGTAAGAGATCTTAGGATAAGGATCATATCATTGTTGTGCATGCACACATTTTTTAAAATGCAACGTGTGTATGTTCAACTTGGTTCACGCATTCACCAAAAAATAGAAATTGGCACAAACAGGCAATTGTTTAGTGTAAAACCTGTCTGGATGTCTGGCCACATGTGTTGTTTGCCCAACTTTCAGCAATCAAATTTGTGACAAAAAGGAAATCATTCACCCATTTACAGATGTGGTTCAGTTTTTTGCCCAGGGACACTTTAACATGTGGACTGCAGACTAAGACAGGGTTAAAACCACCAAACCTGCCACAACCTGGATAACTTGGTCTACCTCCTGAGCCACAGATTGTGAAAAATTCAAATGTACAAATGCCCCAAATTGCTGCAAACAATAACATAATGGCTTCTGGTAATGGAATTGAAGTGAGCAGCCACATTTCTTCATCTCTCCCCGCTCATTACATTTCTGCTTATTATTCAACTTCCCCAACCCTTACAAAGTTAACACAACTCTCTATTCTATTGGGGCGGCTGTGGTCATCCACTAATCGGAAGGTTGTTTGATCCCCGGCTCTTCTCGCTGCATGTCAAAGTATCCTTGCGCAAGACACTGAATCCCAAATTGCCATCATATATTTAATGCTTTGTGGGTCTCTTATTTTGGGGTCTCATCATTTTTTGTGATGGAATAATAACTCTTGTCATGCTTCTCACAGGCTTGGCACAGCCACATAGCTGCTGCAACAGTAACTCATAGGTAGTGTAAGCTTGTGTGAGCCACTGAGAGGCTTTTGCAAAAAAAACAGGTGAAACAAGACATCAATTAATTCTGTTGCTAATAGTGTGTAAAATGCAGTTATTTTATGTCTGGTTGATCATATAGCAGATAAGTAGCCGTTGTTTTGTGTTTTTGGTGTGAGCATCTACAGCAGAGGGAGAATGAAAGCAGAATGTTAATAAGTGAGTGAACCAAGACACAGGACCCCAACCCCTAGCATTCTTTCACACTCCAGGAATCCACCAGCTTCCCTCTGTTCGCTGGTGCGTGCAACTACCTTGGTGTGAATGCATAACTCATCACTGATTTGTGGCTGTGTGGGAACAGGGCTGAAGTACTTGGGAGGTTCTCTGAGGCCCTGAGACCTGCAAGCCATAAAAATGTCATTCAACTCTCCCACTATGATAGGCTGCTTTATCTCAGCACCACCAGCACTGGCCTGTATAAAACCTCAAACCCCTTTCACTCTAGTATGAGAATCAAAGGCATTACTTTGTTGTTTTGAGGTCAGAGTAGATTATTAGGTAGGGTCGGGGTAAGACATGCATAATGGCACATCAAAAGGGCATAGCTACAATACAAAAATATAATAACGTAGACTGCAGAATAGAGTTGGCATAGAGTATATCGGCAATCGGCTGAGCCCATCAGCAGTTGTTGTTAGGGTTAGTGTTATTTGATTTTAGTCATTTTATTTAGCAAATTTAGTCGTCCGCCTCCGAAGAATGAGATCCAAAGACAGACATTCAGTACGCACACTGAGCCACTGAGCCACTGAGCGAATGAGAGGAAAAACAGCTGTAGAACCAGTGTATTTTCACATTTAACTGTGGTGAATTATGGGTTTATTTGAATGCATAAGACTAGTTTGATGACAGGGAATACAGTTACAAGGTGACTTACAGAGGCTCCAAACAAGAGGGGAAGATGAGGACACAGCACGGACAGCCTAGGACAGGACAGACCAGCAGAGGAGAGGCATTGAGCGGGTAGAAGAGCGAGGGAGGTTGGGGCCATCAGAGAGCCAGCGACAGCGCCTAGAGCTGGCATATCTAACTCTTTTAGATGGTTACACACGAGAGACCTGGGAAAAAACATTGCTAAGAACATGAGACCCTTTGATTGGTCGCCTTAATGTGTCATATTAAGATGATATTGAACCAGGGAAAATAGAACCCTAGGATAATAGATATGCTCCCATCTGCACAATGTTCAAGAGGAAAAAAGGACTAGACATTAGAAACTGCTTTAGCAAGTAGCACTGTATTGTAATATGACTGCAGAAAAAAAGCAGCCTAGACAATTTCTAACAACCACTGATGTAGACTATGCCCATTATATATTTTAAAATAAACAAATACAAATATAGAGGTAGTAGCTTTGTGCTCTCTCTGATGTGTGTTGTTGATATGTTGATGATTTGTGTTTAAAACCTGTAAGCATTTTCTTGAACAACTCACAACATATACTGTACTGTATAGTACCTCTGACATGTGAATTAACATTGTTGTGGTCATCCTCATCTTTAAGTGAGACTGTGAGCCATTCTGGTGTGAAGTAAACATTCTATAACATAACTGAATAGAGTTAAGATTACCATCTTGTTATTATTTACAGGAAAAAGAAAGAGAAGAAGCAGAAAAAGAAGAAGGAGAAGAAGAAGAAGAGGTTGGAGAGTCCCCAGAGCAACACTAATTTCCACACCATGAAAACTCTACCTCATTCAGCTGTCAGGTCTTTCAAAGGGAAAAGATTGCTGTGACCACTTATTTTTGACTTTTGACGTTTAATTTCAATTACAGAATTTCCATCTTTGATATGGATGTTCAGTATATGTCTGCATCTTTAAATTCCTTGGATAAATTTTTTTTACAGACCACACAGAATGCAGCAACAAGGGAAACATCAAAAAGAATTTAAATTCATAAAAAAAAAAGTTTCAGATGTTCCTGCCAAAATAGACACAAATAAGGCAGATTCTAAAGACTATACCTTTGTACTGAGGTGCAAATCAAATGCACTCACAGTATCACTGTAGTACTCTTCGTCTCTTGAATGGAGAGACACAGATACATAAACTGTTTCATACACCCTGTCATTGCTGACTGATCTCACCAGATATTGATGGCAGAAAAGAGACTGGAACACCCTTGTATTGTCATACGGAAATGTAGAAAAAATGTCTGGTGTTCCAATATATTATTGTTGTTCGAAAGCAAACCAGTCACCCCAAACCACTCACCCCTCAACAAAGGCATACACACGGATCTTTCTCAGGTTGGCTTAAAGCCATTAAAAAAAAAGCTTGCTAAGGTTGTAATCATTGGCTCAGATATAACTTTAGACCATAGATTTGAGTCTCCATACATTCACATTTACAAAAAGACCATCTTCCTGTGTTTTCTCTCTCTGATAATAGTCAGCGAAGAAACAGCACCTAATGCAAAGGTTCATCATGGAATGAACCTGCAGTCTTTTGACATTCTGGGAAATATGTTTGAATTGTCAATGCAAATTAATCTCTTGTAAAGATGGCCAATATGCTGCCATAATCTTAATCAAACATTTGTTAAAGATTTTTAAGTCACAATACAATTTAATCAACTAAGAATCTTTTACATTTTATTTGTTCTCAGTTTTTAATTAGCAGAAAGCAATATATGAATAATTCAGGTAGCAGTTTCTCAATTTATCAATCATCATTTTAGGTGTAAAATGACAAACATTACCAGGGGTAGGCTATATTAGCTGTAGCTAATTTACAAGTATTATGTAAGTAACTTGCCTGAAATGAGCTGTGCCTTTCCACAGCTCATGTCTGTACTTAGCCAAAGATCGTTTGTCAGAGACACCACTCTCTAACACCACTGTATAAACAGTAGAGAGTCTTTTTGCAATTTAACGTGACAAGAGGGTGGCACTTCTCTAGTGATTGCTGTGTATTAGCTTCAGTCTATGGAATCTTCTACTTAAAATCTCATTAATTTATCCTGATATCCAAAATAATGCTGATTCATTTTCAAATTATAGCTGATCCTGGGTGTGCAAATTAATTTTGGAGTTTAGAGTAGAAATAGAGTTCCTAACTGCAGATAACAAAAACTGAATATTAGACTCAATATTTAAGCGATTGCATGTATCTCAATCTCAGTCGAAAGTATTACCTTTCCTGTGTACATTCAATTACTCCTAAATAAAATCAATCATTATGATGGTTAACCTTGATCGATTTGAAAGTGAACGACAAATAATTGATTGAAATTGATCGAAATTAGTTGTGCACATCCTTACCCTGAACTTTATGAGACTGTATTGTATCTCTTCTACCTCAAACCCTTCATCAAAGAAGCATATTATTATTTTTATTATTATTATGCCCCCAACCTGCTTTTATTTTTAAAGATACTTTTGGAAAAGGCAATCAAAATTGCAATCATTATTATCCTCTTTACTTCATTGTTAAAACAGACAAACAAAAATTATAACAAGTCTTGTCCAGCAGTGCCTCAATTATGTATTTCAAGCTTTAATTTTGATACATCTAAGGTCACAACTTGACCCAGGATGCTTGATAGACTAGAACACTGGAGCACCACATAAATGCTTTGCTCTCTCTGTTGTTGCAATACTGACACACCTCTTTTATTTTTATAGAAAATGATAGAACCTCTTTACATCTTGCCATTAGTTCACTATCAAACTGTTGCATCAGACTACTGTATACCATTTGTTCAGATTAATATTAACAAGTGCATGTAGCTTCAATTGTTCTTTGCGTATTATAGCTTTAAAATCTTGATTCCATCATTGATGTAATGCTGCAAGAAATCCACTTGGTCTGCCTTACAAAAAAAACCTCAAGAACAAAAACCACAAGAACTAACCACACATTACCTCGTGACACACTTAATACCTGGATTTAGTAGCAGCATGACAATGGATGACTCATCTCACACTGTAACTTCAGGGAGCCTTACGTTTAAGGAAACCTGATATTATGCAATCTTCTTCTAATTTCAAACTACCTCTGACTCAGCACGACCAGCTTGTGAACACTATTGCTCAGTACACACAAACTAATGCCCAGGAAGGCAGCGTGCATTCAGATATTTTATAATGTACTGTATTTTAAAGAGAGGTCATGCTGGTAGTCTTATCATGGGTTTTTGTGTCCCAACTGTTTTGTTTGATTTAGTCAGGTAAATCCTACATAATCCGAAAAGGAGAAAACGCCAGATATATGACAGGGCCATGTGCATCAACATTAAAGGAAAGTAGCCTTTTTCCTACTCACTTGTGGCCATCTTTCCTGTTGGCTAGACAGGGCTTTTACAAAGTTACAAGGAATGCACAGACACGAAATCTTAATGAAAATGGTCCATGCAGATCAAATAACGTTACAATATTTTGACTAAAATACCTTAATTGTTCAGTGCTTGACCGGAGGTCTGACTGTGTAATCCTCCTTATTGAACTAAAAAAGAGTCACAGCAGTCACTTTGGGTACAAACCTCTATGATACATTTCGGATTTATTCCTACATAAGGTGATAAGAGTTCCATGTAGAGATATTGATCCAAGGACAAAAGTTATCCAGCTTGTCCATGCTGTGATATTTGTTTATTTATTTTGAGAAAATAACAAAAAAGGTCCGCCTTTTGACACGTTACCTTGTTAGTTTAATACTTATTGGCTAAAAATGTGTGTCAAAATAAGTAATTTCATTGTAACATTCATTTCGTGTAGTGACCTATCAACACATAGCTAATTTAAATATTCAGATGAGCCATGTGTTGATTCGCCACAACATGATACCAGGCTGTCAATCTAGCTCTCAGCTACAGAGAATGTAGCATCAGCATTATGGTAATTGCGGAGAAACAGCGTATTCACTTCCGGTTTTCAAAATAAAGGTATTAAGAACAGTAAGCTATAATTCGAACCTACATTTAAAATAAAATATGTTACATTATACAAGTGTTTCATGCTACCATGATGAATAAAAAACATACTTAATATCAAGCATTTTTACTGCACCAATTTGGAGAAATTCAACAATAAAAGTCCAACAACGATGTTAGCTAACATTGTTCTCTGTAGCTGAGAGCTTGATTGACAGCCTGGTGGTAGCAACTGCATGAGCCTGTGTTGTGGCAAATCAACACATGGCTCATTTGAATATTTAAATTAGCCATGTGTTGATAAGTCACAACACCAAAATGTAACCAATGAAATTACTTATTTTGACACACATTTTTAGCCAATAAGTATTAAAGGTAATGTGTCAAAAGGCGGACCTTTTTTTTTATTTTCTCAAAAGGAGGACAAATGAGTGTCGGGCTTGAGGCTGCGCCTGTATCTCTTGAGTAGGAGATACCTTTTGTTGTTAAAAAGTTTCCTTTAATTGAAGACACACTCTAAATCATTTATCATCCAACATTTGCAATTTCCATATCCATGTCCATATGTTGTAATGCTGAAAGTAATGTCCTTTTTTTAATTTTAGCTTTGGTTGGTTCAATACAAAATATCTAGATATATTTTAAAAAACAAAATGCAGTTGTTTTTATGTAAATTGTTTAATTTTATTAGAAAACATGTAAAAAATATTATATAGAGTATGTTACCCTTTTAAGCAATATGCAAAAAAGTTTCAACACATATCCAAGTGAAGTTATTGTTATGATGCAGTCTCTAGAGTTTGTCTCCTCCAACACTCCACACACTTGGCACTGACTTCCCTGACATTTTCTTTCTTTAGAGATTCTTTGAAAAAGCCTAGGTTCAGTAGTTTTTATACTTAAAACACAAAAACAGCTAACTTATTAAATACTGTTTTTCTACTCTACCTTAATGTTAATTTGTATCTAAATATTGTAATGCAACATTTTACATTATCTGCAAACTTATTTCTGAAAAACTGATTTATTTTGTGATTTACACAACTGTTTAATAAGGATCAAATGTTTTTATGACACTACATGATGTAACAACAGATGTTTTTTGTTTTGAATAGCTAGAGTTGTTTTATTTACAATCTATATATGTTCAATACCTCAAACAGACCGATAAAAATGGACTAATCAATTCACCTACCTCCAGTCATTAAAAGGAATGACTTGGCCAGTGTACTTTGATGTATGATATGATCTATATCAGGACTGCAGAAGATCCTTACTTAAAGTATTGTATCAGATGAGTCAAGCTTACAATCTCAGTACATTTGGACTCTCACCTTCAAAGTGACCTTCAGGGTTTGATACATATATTTGGATTTTGTATATTGTATTCATGAATATGTTTTCTTGTTTTTAATTAGTGCATATCTTGATTAGCTGTTTTGTGTAGGTCACAACGTGATTTTCTTTTCTTATGATATGGCTAAACCAGATCTATAGGGAATTGCCTCTTATCTTCTTATTTTCACCTCATAACATGGCAACCTTTGAAGTTGAATTTTTAACTGGGCCAGAAGAAGAGCCTCAGAAGAGCTACATTGATCTTGTCAGCCTGCCTTTGCCAGCAACGACAGTGGCAACTTAACAGAGGCTGTAGTAAACTCTCATTAAGTAATAATCTGCACAGTGTTTTGGATCTTAAAGGTGTCTTTCAAACTGAACTAAAAATGGTTTGTGCAGTCTCTGTTTATTCATCACAGCCAGGGTAACAACTTTATGGATGTTACCTGTAACTGGTAACTAGCTAGAAACATACTAATTTCACAAGTAATTATTAAGGATAATATTTTTCCAGGCACAAGTACTGAGGTTTAGTGGCTATGGACAAATATTTGGAACACACTGCAGGAGTACACAAAAAGCAGTGAATGCAGGTGTTGACACAAATTAAATGCGGCTGTCATCTATTGCCTCTAAGCATGAATTGTTCTGTTTTTGTTGAAACATTTTCACTTGTCAAGGCATGTTTTTGACTCAGATTGCACCACACAGGGCAAATTTAGGCTTGTCTTAGGCTTGTCTGTGTTGACTCACAAAATTTGCTACACATTCAGTTTGAACACAGCTTAGTAATACCAGCAACTTACTGCTCCCACAACAATAGGCCTTTTTCATTTTAACATGTCAAAGTAGTACATAGTGGGAAAATCACAGGTCTAAATAATACAATTAATCAGGAATTCCATTTAGCTGCTTCAGTTTCAGTAATGCCCATGCTTTACCTTCTATAAGTCAAAAAGTATGCTGTGAAAAAGCCTACTATATGTGCTAATTTATTTCACAGCATGTCTGAAAAGAAGATATAGAAACAGCATTAAAGTTATCAGAAGGTATCATTTTGACAAAACAAGGATATCTGTTTCTAGTCTTTGTGCTAGGCTTAAACTGGCTAAATCTCTATTTACTGGACAAACAGAGAAAAAGCATATCTCACTATACAAACATCAGATAAGTGTATTTAAGTGTATGATGTTCTTCTGGTAATTTTAGTAACTGGTACCCCACTTTCAAAAAGTATCGCAATGGTAATTTTTTTGTCATTGTTGTGGTCTAAATATGGTTTAAAAAACTGAATTTGAATAAACATACACATACACTTCTCCACCAGCAATGACAAGTGAGTGACAGATGTCCGTTGCCTTCAATAATTAACATATCCAGACACTGTGCAGGTAATGCCATTTCTAATAATCCAAACAGAGAAACTCACAAGCTGATAGCTGATTTGACAGCTACCTAAGAAATAATGTATAAAATGTGTGCACCTATTAAGGCTGGATGATCAGTAGCTTTGAACGAATCACTCTGAAACAGATAGGCTTTATCATTTGAAGGTTCATTAAACACCACACCATTCTTCAGCCAGACAGACACCATGTAGACCTGGTGTTTACATGTGATCTATATCAATCTGGATATGCACTTCTACTCAGATTGCGATTGAACCCAGACTGTGTATCCAGATACAGATCATATGATAATACCAGGTGTACATAAAGTCTTACTGATCACTGAACTCAACAAGCTCCAAGCCCATTTTGAAGTTTCTTATTTCCTTCAGAGATGTGGACTTGAGTTTAGTTACCTCACTGATGGGCAGACTAATTGTTAAAGCCACTGTTGATGAGCTTTCAGCTCTGGGAGTCTTAATGAAGTTGATATTTTCTTTTCATGATTTCATGTTCTGTTACAATAAAATACACATTACTACCTCCAGAAAGGCCAACTTTTACCTCATTGTCAAATACTGTTTAAAATTCAGGTGTCTGAGAGCATATGGAGAACATCTTTAAAAATGTTATATATAGTTTATTTTTGTGGGGGATGCATTTTATTAGACTTTATTTTCTCTGCCTCATAGTCATCATTAGCTAAGACTGGACATGTAACCCTTGAAAAGGAATTTTCCCACCTTATGCAATGTTTTGTAGTTAGCTGTGAGAAAGTGATATATCCCAGCTCTCCATCTGCCTTGCTCCTGTATTATTTCAGATGTTTTCTACAGTATCTAATTTTTGTTGCTTTCTCTCATAGTATTACTGTCTTTGAGTTCACTACACATTTTGCTTGTTTGCTAAACAAACTCTTATGTTCACTTTTTTTCAGCACATTAAAACAGTATGCCATCCATAACATAGATGTGTGTGAGATTTTGATTTCTGTTCTAAATTCTTTTACAGTGTCTGGTGTTTTGTTGAAAACACAGATGGAATTCAAGCTACAAACAGCAATGAGTAGGTCCCGGCAATCTTATCCAAACTTAAAGGCTGGTAGAATCAACAATTCTCCTTGCATGTTACTGAATGTGATAGAAAAACTTTGAAGGACCTTGATGACTTACATTGCTTACACTTACACTGCAGAATTTATTGAGGCTCACCTGAGGAGAACAAGATCAGCAATTCAGTGCAGTTGCCATGGGATATTTAACAGAAACCTAGACCCACAAGTGTCTCAAATATGGTCATAACTTACACAGCTACATATGTGTGAAGATTACACAGATTAGACTGCACCTAGGCCATCCTAAGTCATGTTGAATGACACACAATGCATAGAAGAGACAGTCAGTCTGTTAGATTGTTCTTAACCATGGTCTTCCATAACATGTAGAATTAAGAAATGTTGGGTGCTCAGTGTTCAACCTTATCAGCTGCCCTGCATAGTCTAGTCAGCCAATCAGAGAGGAGGCCAAATTAAAGAAGAGGCACAGGCTGTGACGTGTGACCTTTAGGTTTCAATTCAATTAATTTCAACTTTATTTGTATAGAACCAATTCATAACAGAAGTTCTCTCAGGACACTTTTCAGATAGAGCTTCTTGATAAATGTGATAAGGCCTTTGAGTTTTTTTTATTTATCACATTATTATTATTATTATAGTTTGAGCTTGTTGAACAGGAGACAAAGGGACAGTCTTCATCAGAGATCTGGTAGAATAACTGCTTTCAAGTTTGGTGCAGTTATAAGGAGCAATGATAAGAGTCAGCAAAGTTTACAACTGCAGCAACAAGGTTAATTATTAATTTTAGGATTAAAAGCTAATTATGACATTTCAATTTTGTTCTCTTATCAAAAGGGTGGGTCTAGGTAATTATAAAACCTCTCAAGAAATGTTGCAGAGTAATTATGGACATGCACCATTAACTCTGTTTTATAAAATATTCACAAAAACACAACTCTAATGTAAGCCACACTGGACTACATTTCTCCGCAGTACCCTCATCTTGGTGCATCACCTGATGTCCTATTACTGTTGTGGCTTTGGATGGTTGGAGATCAAATGTTTGTCTACTTGGCAAAAGACAAGACACTCTTAGAACTGTCTAAAGAAAAATACTTTTGCTTGGTTGCATCCTTGCCCTCAGATGATATACTGGAACTTAAAAGACAATATAACTATTATTTTCAAGTATAGTGCCAGATTCATGTTACAAAATCACAATTCTGTGACTTCTGTGTGTGGACCTCTTCAGAACTATATATTGAACGAAGTTTGGCTAACAAGAAAAAATGTCTCTCTACCTTAAAAAAAGAAAAGTTGACTCAGAGAACAGAGAACCATGGTCTTCCATAACAGTTCAACAATGAATGGACAGAGAAATACGCATTTATTGCCGTTGATGTGAATCCTGTATGCTTAATCTGCAACGAGTGCCTCGCCATGTGCAAAGAGTATGATTTGAGAAGACATTTCAAGAACGCATGCTAACTTTGATGTTACTTTCCCACCTGGCTCTGCTGCTGGGAGGCAGAAGATAACGGGGTTTACATCTTGTTATGAGCAAAGACGTCGCATTTTGTTTCGGGCCTGTACGGCTCAAGAGAGAGCAACTGCGGCATCGTTACGAGTGGCATGGATATTGGGCAAAAAGAAAAAGCACAGACTCAGAGACAGTCAAGGAGTGTATGGTGGCATCCATTGAGGAGGTGGTAACAGATGAGAAAACCCAAAAATCAAGCATTCGATCAAGTAAATTCCAATTTCTGACATGTCAAATATGAGGAGAGTCAAGTCCCTTGCATCGGACGTTTTTGAGACGCTTTTGGACAAGCTGTGGAAGGCCGAGGTTATGTCTTTGGCCGTGGATGAGTCGACTGATAACAGTGATGTTGCACAGCGGTGCCTCTATGTGCAATTTTTTGATTGGGAATGTTTTCGTGAGGACCTGCTTGGATTAATTCACATGGAGGGGCACACTACCGGTGAGATTCTCTTCACCAAAATTGCTTAATTCTTTGAGGAGAACAACTTGGATGACGGATGGTGCGCCCTCAATGGCAGGGAGGGATCAGGGGCTCGCTGGGAGGATGGCAGCTGCGGCTCCGCAGGTGCGATCTCTACATTGCCTCATCCACCAAAGCTTCCTGTGTGCCAAGCTCAGTGGTGAGTTAAAAGAGACCATGGACTCTGTCATGGCAATTATAAACTTCATCCATTGTATCTCCAGTTTACAGCACTGCCTTTTCTGCAAGCTGTTGACTGACATGTCTGCTGAATATAAAGATTTGCTCATTCACAATGACATTAGATGGCTTAGCAAAGGAAACGATTTGAAACGTTTTTGTGAAATAAGAGAGGAGATTCTGGTGTCTCTCCGGTCTTCAAAATTGAAAAAAGCTGGCAAGTTTCTGTCTCTGATGGAAAATGATGAGTTTAATGCCGCTGTTTGCTTTTTGAGCGACGTTTTCCATCATTTGAACCATCTCAACATAGAGTTGCAGGGCAGAGATAAAACAGTTGCAGAACTTGTGGAGAAACTTCATTCTTTTAAAAGAAAGCTCTCACTCTTCTCTGCTGATCTTTGTCCTGGCAAGATGCTCCACTTCCCAACATTGAGGAAATCTGACCTGCAAATTACCAAGCTGATGTCAGGTTTTATAGACTCATTGAAAAATAACTTTGCCACTACGTTTGAGGATTTCAGCATCTCCAGTGAAGTGATGACCTCTGACCAGCATCTGCAACACTGCTTGCACATTGCCCTGACAACATATACACCTAACTTAACTGCTCTTGCCAAGTCAAAAAATGCCAGTTCTGTCATTTGATGGTAAATGTTGGCAAACTACATGCAAGGTAACAGGCATGTTAGACAAGCAAGAAATGAGGATTGATTTTTGAACAGTATGATGCAATTAACATGTTAATCACCTCATATTACGCACTTAATGTTTTTTTTGATGTGGTATTATTGTTGAATGCAGTTTGAAATGTTTTGCCTTGATAAAGTGCCATGCACTGTTATGTTGTTATAATTCTATTCAGAGGCATTCTGTATACATTTGATGATCTTAAATATCTGTGATATGCCTGACCTAGACTGATTGTTAAGGTGTCTGATTTATGTTCAAAATGGACAAAAGTGAGTACAGTAGTAGTCCATGTGTGGATTTATGGGACAGTCTATTTTATTTTTTTAGAAGGAAAAAAACTGTGAGTTACCAAATAGCTGCATTTCTGTTTTTAGCCAGTGGAGAAGGGGGACAGTTTGATGTTTCTGAGAATTATTTCCCTCTTTACTTGTAACACTGAAATGTATCTCTTCATTGTCAATTGAGGATAACGAGCTGTAAAGCTGTGTTGGTACAGTTATGTGCAATTAAGTGGATGTTTTCTGTTAGTTAATTGCATTTCTCTGATTGTCTGATTTTTCAATATTGTATTGCCATTTGAATGTAACAATGCCTTGGGCCTACAGTGGGTACGGAAAGTATTCAGACCCCTTTAAATTTTTCACTCTTTGTTTCATTGCAGCCATTTGCTAAAATCAAAAAAGTTCATTTTATTTCTCATTAATGTACACTCAGCACCCCATCTTGACAGAAAAAAACAGAAATGTAGAAATTTTTGCAAATGTATTAAAAAATAAAAACTGAAATATCACATGGTCATAAGTATTCAGACCCTTTGCTGTGACACTCATATTTAACTCACATGCTGTCCATTTCTTCTGATCCTCCTTGAGATGGTTCTGCTCCTTTGTTGGAGTCCAGCTGTGTTTAATTAAACTGATTGGACTTGATTAGGAAAGGCACACACCTGTCTATATAAGACCTTACAGCTCACAGTGCAGGTCAGAGCAAATGAGAATCATGAGGTTGAAGGAACTGCCCAAGGAGCTCAGAGACAGAATTGTGGCAAGGCACAGATCTGGCCAAGGTTACAAAAGAATTTCTGCAGCACTCAAGGTTCCTAAGAGCACAGTGGCCTCCATAATCCTTAAATGGAAGAAGTTTGGGACGACCAGAACTCTTCCTAGACCTGGCCGTCCAGCCAAACTGAGCAGTCGTGGGAGAAGAGCCTTGGTGAGAGAGGTAAAGAAGAACCCAAAGATCACTGTGGCTGAGCTCCAGAGATGCAGTAGGGAGATGGGAGAAAGTTCCACAAAGTCAACTATCACTGCACCAGTCGGGGCTTTATGGCAGAGTGGCCCGATGGAAGCCTCTCCTCAGTGCAAGACATATGAAAACCCGCATAGAGTTTGGCAAAAAACACATGAAGGACTCCCAGACTATGAGAAATAAGATTCTCTGGATTGAACTATAAGAACTATAAATAAGACTGAACTTTTTGGCATTAATTCTAAGCGGTATGTGTGGAGAAAACCAGGCACTGCTCATCACTTGCCCAATACAATCCCAACAGTGAAACATCGTGGTGGCAGCATCATGCTATGGTGGTGTTTTTCAGCTGCAGGGACAGGACGACTGGTTGCCCTGGAAGAAAACCTCTTCCAGAGTGCTCAGGACCTCAGACTGGGCCGAAGGTTCACCTTCCAACAAGACAATGACCCTAAGCACACAGCTAAAATAACAAAGGAGTGGCTTTGGAACAACTCTGTGACCATTCTTGACTGGCCCAGCCAGAGCCCTGACCTAAACCCAATTGAGCATCTCTGGAGAGACCTGAAAATGGCTGTCCACCAACGTTCACCATCCAACCTGATAGAACTGGAGAGGATCTGCAAGGAAGACTGGCAGAGGATCCCCAAATCCAGGTGTAAAACACTTGTAGCATCATTCCCAAGAAGACTCATGGCTGTACTAGCTCTAAAGGGTGCTTCTACTCAATACTAAGCAAAGGGTCTGAATACTTATGACCATGTGATATTTCAGTTTTTCTTTTTTAAT